GGTAACTGCTACACTTCCTGCTTTTATATGAATGAATCTCTTCTCTTTTACGTACAGAACATGCTAGAACAGAATCTATTTAGATTGAGAAGTACTGTTTTGTTCCCTCCCTCTCTCCCTGTTTTCACCTTTTTACCTCATAGGTTAGCTAGTGATGCTTGTGGTTAGCAGTAGGGTTTTGGAAATGATATTTAATACAGAAGAAAGTGATTATTTTTTAAAATGTTTTGTTTAGTAAAACAGATATCTTGCCTTGTATGCTTTGTCACAGTAGTTCACTGTTTCATTTTAGGTTTAGTCCGTATTTTCGAACAAAGGAAAAACTGTACCTCAGTTCAGTAACATACAGCAATATGATTGAGCCAAAACAGTGTTTCTGCCGTTTTGATTTAACAGGCACATGTAACGATGATGACTGTCAGTGGTGAGTTAACTTTAACTTTGTTTGAACTAAACCTCTCCTCTAAACCTCCTTTTGGTCTCAAAGACCAAAATAGGCATGTTTTTCACTTTAAAAAAGTTTCATTTCTTTAAAAAGATTTATGATTCTATGCACAGGTTCTAGAAAGCAAAGCTATTTTTAATACCTGATTGCAGATACTCTTGTTGGCAGGAAAAAAACCCACATTTCATCTAAGCCATGAAGAAAGAAGGCTATTTAGATATAAATTTAGAAAAGCAATATAGACTGTTAAAGAATACTTCACTTTTTGTTTGCCTTGTAATTCAGACAGGATTCCTCTTTATAACTTCAGCATAACTTCAGACAATCACGGAATCTCAGGTTGTGGTTGATACTATTAAGCATGCTAGAGATGAATCGTGCTGCTAACCACAATAAAGCATATACCAAATATTATGTGATTATGTAAAAAATAAATAAGCAAAAAACCCCAAAACCAACCAAACAAAAAACAACACCCAAAACCCCACAACTATTGTAGTAGTGGAATTCTAGTTTTCTGGGAAAATACTGGTTAAGTTTGTTTCTTTGAAGCCTGGTGTTAAACTACATTAAAAATAGTTTGTTAAACAATGTTGTACAATATAGTTAAAAAGTTGGTACAAGAGGAAATGGATATGAATTTGTCAGGAATAAACTCAAGTTGGAAATTTTTAATTACTGGAAACATGTAATAGGAGTGGACTTAAGCTCTTTTTTTGCCCTTTTTGGTGGCAGACAGCTTTTTGGATCAGCTTTTAGCTGTTACCATCAAACCATAGTTTGAATCTTTTAAATACAAAGTGATACCTAATTCTTAACTACCTTGTTTGAACTGGAAAGTTCTAAATACTGTGTTTTTGTGTTAGTATGAAGCAAGTGTGTAGAATTTTATTTTAAAGAGTAAGGCTATAGTGAAATAACGAAAACTAGAATTAAGTTACTGATGCAGGATTAAGTTTTGAGAAGACCTAGACACATTTGGCAGAAATTTTGAAGCAGGCTATAGTGTTTTCTGTGTGTATCATTTCCTTATGCCTCACCTTAGTATGTACTAAAACCAACTTTCAAGTTACAAGGCTTATTAAATTGTTGCTGTGATAAATAGATTAATTGCTTGCTTGTTTGTTTTAGGCAGCACATGAAAGACTGCACTCTTAGCCGTAACCAGCTGTTTCAGGATATTCTGTCTTACAATTTAGAACTGATTGGTTGTTCAGAAAAAAGCACTGATGAGGAAATCAACACTGCCACAGGTTTTTAAGAGTCTTTTGTTCGCTTTTGTATGTGAAGATTCATTTCTGAAGGGAATGGCTGTCACTAAAAGCTCTGGGTGCAAGGACTTTTGATGTAAAGCAATGTATAAGATACAGCTATAAGGAAAAAATACATTTCTGTTGTTGTCCAGTTCAGTCTTTTGTAGTGAGTAGTTTACCTTGGTGTCTTTACAGGAAGAAAAAAGTGATTGATCTGTGGAACATTTAAGCAAACCCGAACAAGTAAAAAACTTCTAAAAAAACCCAAATAAAACCAAACTATTGCTGGGATTTAGGGGATTGAGGAGCAATAGGCATGGAATCCTTTCCTCTCCCTTCCTCACTACTTTTTGTAATTACTGGACCAGTCTGTTTCAGTGGAGCTGGAATTTTATAACAATGCTGTTGCCATATAGGCAAATTGCCAAACACAACTTTCTCAGTTTTTCATTTCTTCTAGTATGTTAAATTACCATACCTCTTGGAGCAGTCATGTTTCATGAATTCAGCAGAGGTTGTGCTAAATTGCTGTTAAGTTACCTATCCATTTTTGTTTCTGTGTTTACCTAAGATACAAATATTCTTGTTTCAGAAAAATATGTTGAAAAACTTTTTGGTATAAACAGAGATCGTATGTCAGTGGATCAGATGGCTGTTCTTCTGGCCAGCAATGTCAATGAGAGTAAAAGTCACAGTAAGTAACTTGGTAGATTAAATACAATACAACCTTTTTTAATTATGTAAGTACCTGCATGATTTTGTAAACAAAAAATATTTTTTGTTGTTGCTTAGTTTATTTGTTTCAGTATTATAAATTCTACTTAAGGTAAAATAAAGGCAGCAGAGTTTGTTTTAAGGCAACAATATAATAGTTTGAGTCCAATTTGGAAAAGTGACTTATTTTCTAAAAAGAAAAGTAAGTGTTGAAACTTACATACTCACGCAATGTTTTTATATAAATTCTTTTTTAGTAGCGATGTTTTAATCTTGAATACAGAAAAGAATTTCTACTACTTTGCTTGTTTACAGCACCTCCATTTACAACATGGAAAGATAAAAGGAAATGGAGACCAAAGTACTGGAGAAAACCTCTGTTGGATAGTAGCAGCAGTGAAGAGGAACAGTCTGTTGGACCCATTAAATATGGTAATCTGGATGTGTGGCATCCATTAAAAAAGTATGGGGGGGAAATACCTACCAACACCTAATTTTTAAAGTGGTTCTTAAGAAAAACAATGCTTTTGATAGCTCTCTTGACTTGTTATTTCCTGCAAATTTCATTTTGTATAAAGTTTTGGGTAAAATTTGGCCTGAATTTGTTGTATTTAAGGAAAAAAATAATCTAGTATAATGTATGACTTGAAGTTAAGGTGGAATTGCTACTTTCCTGTTCTTAAAAGGAGCATAAGGAACTATTTCTCTAGAATGTTTCAGCTTTGCCCATAGACCATTAGGATTGGTTTTCATTTTTATTTTTCCGTCCCATAACTATAAGTAGTAAAACTTCATGTGTTCAGTTATCTTAAATTTGTACAGAGTTAAAATTTGTTGCTGAGGTCAGGAGTTAAAAAAAGCTGCTGTTAAATGGCATTTGAGACTTGGAATCTTGCTAGAGTGTCACTAACCCAACAGTGTTTCACATGTGACTCGTGCAGGTGGAAGCTTTAGGATTTGTTAGCAAATCCTGTAAAAAGGATTTTTAGAGAGTCCGAATTGAGACAAATATTTTTGTCAGATGTGGCTATTTCCTAATGTGGCCTAATGAACTGCCTTAATTGGTGTCTGATCAAAGCACCCTTTTACTGCTATTTAGTTCTTGCCTTCACATATGAAATATAATCAGTTTTCTTTGTTACTGGCTACCAAAGCCAGGTTGGGTCACTGCTGCACTTGCACTGCT